AGTCGTTATATAATCCCCACATTTAATTTATTTCTTGTGGGTACAATTAATTCCCCCAGGATTCAGGACCTATGACCTATTGGTATCGCTCATCGGTTATTCACAGCATGCTTTGGTTGGTTATTATTAATATAGAAGAATTTATAGTTTTGAGGCTGGTGAAATATGAATTATCACAAATGCAGCCTAACTTGGCCTTTTATGGTAATTTGAATGTGACGTGAATCTTAGTTAACAATAAATAAATGCAACATCACGATTTTGCGACTATTTCTGATTGGCTCACGGCTAGGTTAAAGAATTGTTTTCTAATTTGAAGGGTAGAGATGAATTTGAGCTCTAAAATGGCAGGGTGTGTGAATTATTGTGATGGAAATTGAAAATGATGCACCTCTTTCATACAAATGTAGAGGACTTTTCTTTCTAAAAATGTGTCTATTGTTTCTTGCCAGATAAGGGTCTAATCTCTCAGGTATTACAAAATTTAGCCTAGCATAAGAATTTGCATTGATAATGGGCTATTCCACTTTGTGAATTCGTTCTCAAAAATCTCAAGAATTTGGATCTCAAAAATGGTCAAAAGTAGGGAGTCATGGTTGGTCAAACCTTTGAGACAAAATAATGCAAAATATATAGAGGGTACTTAAAAGGAGGGTAAAGCATTTTTTGTGTCATCCAATATACACCGTCGCTTAGTCCTCGTATGCCTGGAATATTGGGTGCTTCACAAAAATCAGTCGTCGTAACTTTAGTACATGTAATTACAAAAATGTTAATTGTGTGAAAGTACGCAAGAATGATTGTTTTAGAATTTAGTGAAAAAGGTATTCTAGGAAATCTTTATTAGTCTAAAAATATGCTCTTTTACCAAAATAATCTGAAAATGTTGTTAACTACAAATGCGTTTGGTTTATTTTTCCAGATAAGTCTATGAAAAAATATTTGAAAAATCTTCATTCATTAAATATTTGTGAGCACTGAAAACGAGGAAATCAATGATTAAGTATACATTATTTAACACCCTCAAACCACACTGTAAAATCACAGTACCGTACAGTACATTGAGAGGTATGGTACCGTATGGTACTGTTGGAGTATGGTGTCGTTCAGTGTTCACTGTACCATACGGCACCAATTTAGTCTACGGTACCATACAGTTAAATATTTCACGGTATTGTACTGTATCATTGCCAGAACGGTACGGCACAGTACTGCTGCAGATTGACTGTGTGACGCACATATTAAATGTTCCTGTTCAGTCTGGCACAATAATATAGCACTTTGTAACATGTTCATTCTAAACCATATTAATGATATGGTTCTAATTACAGTAATCGCATTCACTTCATGAGCAGCTGCTATCTGAAGAGCACGCTTGACCAAATGATAGAGAATTATGATCTGTCAACATGTATTGACGTAATGTTTTTAACATCGCGGATGCATTTATAATCTTCCTCTTTCAAGGATCTATACAAGACAACAATTTAATCAGGGGCCATCATAAATATTTGGACAACAGGATGTTTTTGTATTGTCCCTTCAATTGAAGACCTGACCTCAATAAAATCATAAAGTTAAGTGAAAGTTTAATTTCAAATTGTTATTTCATGAAATAAAAATCCCTACATTCAAGGTAAACATCTTATATACATGTATGTACCAGTTCAGCGGAATTCATTTAGCACAAATCAAACACTAAAACCATTGCAAATTCAGCATAAAATGAATATATAAAACACATATGCCAGCGTTTGTGCTGTGTTGCTCAAAAAGTGCTAAATCAGCAATAAAAGAAATTGTAAACAACCACTAAATGTGCTTAATGCTAACTAATTAACTAAGTAACTTCTAATTAGCTCACCAACACCTTCAAACCTTAGACTAATCATGAATTACTTTTGTTTTTCTTTCTTTCCAATAAGCTTAAAGTGACTCTTCAAGCAGAGTTGGATATCGTGTATTATACCACTCTAAGTCCAATTGCAGTTGTATAACATGGGTCTATAACAACGATATACAATGGAGAGTGGTATATCGTCATCGTATACAACTCCTCCGTATACACTCCAGCGTATACCACTGTAGAAGTGCATTCTGGGAACTAATGAATAATGAACTAATGAATTTTTAATTGTTATGATTGCGTTCGAATCAACTGTAATTGAACTTAGAGTGGCATAATAAGATTATATAATGGTTCATTTTGTATATCGTGCATTCTATACTCTCGTGAGAATATGATATATTCACTCGTTCGCTACGCTCACTTGTGAATATATCATATACTCACTCGAGTATAAACACGTTATACAGAAAGAACCATTATATAACCTCATATGATCTCATTTAACATGTTCAATGTGAAATTATATTATTATTATTGTATGTCGCAACTAGAAGAGGTGTCTTTTTTGTGGACACTGTTGGCAGTTGGTGTTCAGTGTTCGGTGTTCAGTGGTTGGTGTTTGGCATCTGTAACAAATGGCAGGTAGTGACATTTTGCATGTTTTGAATGCCTTGTATTCAATTCAATTACTTAAACGTTTGACACAGAAATAAACATTATTAACTAAACTGAACTTCAAAACAACAAGAAGTAAATGGAATCATAGCAATGTACAACTTACACACTATTGACTATGTAGTCCTATATACAAGCTAGAAAAAATCATTAGGTTGAAATAACACATTGAGATGACCCCTGATCCTTACGAGAAAATAACAAACACAAATCAAAAGTAATAACTATTTGATCTAATGAATCATTTTGTTTTCTTCCTTTCTAATAACCCAATCCATACTCAAGTCAATAAAATAAAACTGTATGTTGATTTATTTGGATATCCAGATTGCAGCATACTTGAACTGGCTATGATGAGGTAATAGAATCATAATTTACTACCAAGACTATTTTATTTGTGAGGTTATTTCCTTAGTCATATTTTTAGTTCTAAACAATGTATATTATTTTTCAACAGATGCTATAAGCTTCTTCATTTTACTAGAATAACTTTTAATGAAGTTTGAAATCACATATATTTCTTAGTCTTCAAATAATGTTTTTAAAATCAAATTGTAATTCACTTAATTAACTCCCTGGTGATGAAATGGTTAATTAGACAACAATTTTATTTGAAAACATAGGATCAAATCCTACGCTGAGCTTCAGTAAGCAAGTCAGATCCTCAAAGCTGATACTCTCACCTTTCAAATGGTATATTTGCACCTTGAGGAGGATAATCGTGTCATGTATCATTCACTTAAGAATAGACTTTAAAGCTCTCATTTTCTCAGCTACGGCTCTCTCAATTTCACTTAAGCATTTAAGACGCAGTTTGAAACATTTTTGTGGAAAGTATCCTTATAGGTGGAAATACTCGCACTACTTTACTAGCACCTGTTGTAATAATAGTAATCTATGTAGAGATGCATACTTATGTAGCTTTCTTTCCTTCTACTTCATTAAATGTCATTAATTTGCTGAAGAAATCACAAATGCATAACAAACCATTATACTAATGCATGAGAAACCATAATATAGATATATGACCATCCGTAATACAAATGCACAACAAACCACAACACAAATGTATAAAAACCTGATACAAATGCACAACAAACCACAACACAAATGTATAAAAAAAACTGATACAAATGCATAACAAGCCTTAATAAATGCATAACAACCCACAATACAATTGCATAACAAGCCACAATACAATGCATAAAAAATGCAATACAAATGTATAACAAACCATAATACAAATGTATAACAAAGCATAATAGAAATATATAGCAAATTATAATATAAATGTCTAATAAACCATACAACAAATGCATTTTTTTATTTTTTTTTATTTATTTAGTATTTAAGTCAGTGGCTCGGTCAACTTGACATTATGAGCCATTTTTACAGAAATATAGGAGTTGACGTTCATCGGTGTTACATAGTTGAAGGTATACAGCCAAGTGAGGCTCGCACGACTAGTAGCATGTTGGTGGTGCTCTAAAGAATGACTCAGCGGTTAGAAAATGCTATGTCTAGATATTCAGCAAATGATTACAAATGCATAATAACCCACAATACAATTGCATAACATATAATACAAATGCATAACAAATCATAATATATATGTTTAAAGCCTAAGTCCTATTAGGAAAGGGAACCTACATTATGTATCACACAACATTTCAATTTTAGATTAAGATTTATTTTTTTCTTATAAATAAATAAGCCTCAAAAGCTCTGTACTTAACAATTTACCTCTGTGGCTGAACAACCTTCATTCTTATTTTAAGTTTCAAATTTCAATTCATTTCCTCTAAAATGTCAGCCAGATTTACTTCTTTCTCTTATCAGATGTCATACAGAGCTACACTATAGTAATAAATATAAATAAAGGACAACTGAAACAGGTTTTCTCAATTTGCAGCTACAAAAATGCGGTTTTCTTCATTGTAAGCCCAACGTAGAGTTCTTGCGATTGCCATTATAAAATAAATGTTAGATATCTATTATACTGATTCCTTTATGTCAAAAATACCATTTCATATCTGCTTAAATTAAACCTTGTCAGCATCCTTTAGAAAATATTCCTAACACAGTAAAACCCCATTGAGCTGTTGTTTATTAAAAATCACAAAGGGCAACATTATAATAAGACAAAATAACCTAGACACTCAGTCTAATAATTGGATCAGAACTTATTGTGTGCGTTGTGCCTTACAAATAGATAGGCTATCAGTTAGCCAAAGTAAATGTTGTTTCATTTTTTGTCAGGCACTTGATTTTCTCATTAAATTTATTTAAATGAATTCAACAAATGATATATCTCTCTGTGTTCATCATTAAAGTTAATAAAATTTTATGTTAAAAATGTGAACTTCTCCAGGAGCTTAATTTTACATAATAGAAAATTCTTGATGATTAATAAATATAACATATGAGAATTTAGATTAATTAATTTATAATATGAGAATTAAGATTAATCTCTTACCTTGAAATATCAAGTTAATAAGTACTTGTAACTCCTTATCTCTTCAAACCAGCTTCCTTCTTAGATTCCATCAAACAGTATGGTAGGTTAATTTCCCCGGCTTTAGCCAATATTGCCAGTATCGCTTAAGATCCTCCTTGCATACAGATGAAATGTGGCGTTTAGAATCTGGTACTCTAGATTTATTTTCAATCTTTTTGAAGCATGATCCTCCAGGAATAAACTGAATGAACGCTTTATAATCTTGTGATTTTACATTATATACAGTAAAACCTGCCATGGTGAATGGATGCTTTATAATCTTGTGATTTTATATTATATACAGTAAAACCTGCCATGGTGAATGGACGCTTTATAATCTTGTGATTTTATATTATATACAGTAAAACCTGCCATGGTGAATGGATGCTTTATAATCTTGTGATTTTATATTATATACAGTAAAACCTGCCATGGTGAATGGACGCTTTATAATCTTGTGATTTTATATTATATACAGTAAAACCTGCCATGGTGAATGGACGCTTTATAATCTTGTGATTTTATATTATATACAGTATAACCTGTTATTATGAATGAATATTTCAATCATAATCTTGTCTTCACATTATATACAGTAGAACCTGTCATATTGAATGAATGCTTTATAATCTTGTGGTCTTATATTATACACAGTAAAACTTGTCATATTGAATGAATGCTTTATGATTTTGTGGTCTTATATTATATACATGTACAGTAAAACCTGTCATATTGAATAAATGCTTTATAATCTTGTGGTCTTATATTATATACAATAAAACTTGTTATATTGAATGAATGCTTTATGATTTTGTGGTCTTATATTATATACATGTACAGTAAAACTTGTCATATTGAATGAATGCTTTATAATCTTGTGGTCTTATATTATATACAGTAAAACCTGTCATATTGAATGAATGTTTTATAATCTTGTGGTCGTATATTATATACATGTACTGTAAAACTTGTCATATTGAATGAATGTTTTATAATCTTGTGGTCTTATATTATATACAATATACATTCATATTGAATGAATGCTTTATGATTTTGTGGTCTTATATTATATACATGTACAGTAAAACCTGTCATATTGAATGAATGCTTTATGATTTTGTGGTTTTATATTATATACAGTAAAACCTGTCATATTGAATGAATGCTTCATAATCTTGTGGTCTTATATTATATAGATGTACAGTAAAACTTGTCATATTGAATGAATGCATTATAATCTTGTGGTCTTATATTATATACAGTAAAATTTGTCATATTGAATGAATGCTTTATATAATCTTGTGGTCTTATATTATATACAGGTTCTTGCTTGTGGTCTTATATTATATACAGTAAAACCTGTCATGTTGAACAAATGCTTGATGATCCTGTGGTCTTATTTTGTATACCTGTCTTGTCAGCTTGTTGAGTGAGTATTTAATTATCTTGTGGTCTCATGTTCTATACAGTATATCCTGGATAAGTCAAAAATGTTAGAAAATAGTCATAACGTGAAATGTTGAGGGCAAAAACTATTCTACATTTGTAACCATTTTTCACTCTATCAAGTTTGCTTCTTTCTTTAATATGCTATGCTTATCTATATACCAGATCCAGAATTTACGCTCTACTGAATCAACCTTGGCCATTTATTCAAAGAACTCACTTTATAGATTTAAAGTCATTTAGTACAAAAATAACTCAATTGTAGAAGTTTATTCAGCATAAATAAATTCATGAGTCTGACATTGGGCAGCAGATGGTATTGACTATTGATGTTGATATTGATAGACACCATTTTATGCTCAAGATATAGGGATGCTCATTGAATTTCATTTCATCGATATTTCTGTCATCATAAGAACATATCGATGGTTATTTTCTGTTTTCTTAAAATTTATTTAGACTACTTACAGGAAGCACTCATCATTTATTCATTTGTTTGGTTCATTTGTCTGTCTCTGCATCCATATTCTGATAAATCATTAGTCCAGAACTAACTTTAGGCATATAAAGCGCAGTGTTCTTTAGACCCGAGTTTTAGATCCACTCTCAAGGTTAATCCAATAAGACGAGGCGCGGTTAAGATCTTTGTTATCCTTGATTTAATTCTAAGGAAAGCATTATTTTACTCTACTTTACCTTGCATTTGATGCTCATGAGCAACCCATTTGGCTTATCAGTAATGATTTTGTTATTTGTTTTTATGTGTCTGTTGCTTATGAATGGTTTATTGGATGACTGTTAGATGTTAATAAGGTACTTTCAAAAATAAACTAAACAATGCAATTAGACAAACAGAGTATCTTATGCATTTCTAGGGGTTAGGTATAGTAGTGTGAAATAATTCTCATGAAAAATCAAGTATGAATCATGAAAATGAGCAGGAAATATTTTGTTTGGTTAAGGTGGTTTATAGTGATGTTTATTTTTTCATGAAACCATTCAGTAGTTAATTACAATTTCTCTGCACCATGATGTTCAGTCAAGATCATCTGAGTACCTACATGTGTTCTTGACACGTTTTGGCATCCTGGAATGACAACGTCTACCCAAAGTTTGCACGCTTATTTGTCGTAACTTATGACTGAAATAAACATTGTTATAAGCCACCTTAAGCTGGGATGTACATTGTTCTAGTAGACAGAATATCAGTAAACTATCAATATATTTCAATTTATTGCTTGCATTAAGTACTTCCTGGTTCAGTTATCTTGATATGTTGTTCCTCGATGGAAACAGTAGTAATGTCCATCTTTAAATCATATAGAAACATAGAAAGTGATAATATTATTATGAAAATTAATATAGACTGAAGTTCATTGGGCCCTTAGAGTGGATAAGTATGTTGAACTGTGCCTTTCTTCGCACTCGTTTTCAGATTTTGAAGTTTCTGCAATTTTAGAATAAATTATTTAGAAAAACTTGAAACTGGAATTTATTTTTCTATGATTGGTTCCAAACAGACAGTTTACGTCTATTGATTATCATGGAAATTTGGGATAGGCCTAAAATAGGCCTTTTTGGGGCCTCATTTATGGCCAGAATTTTCAATGAAGGAGCCAAAAAGTTTTATATTGCTCCCATATGTAGATATCCCTACCCCACTGTCTTATCATGTGCTATTATAAAGCTATGTAACTTAACTAGTGGTTCATCTTGACGAAATGTATTTAAAATGAATATTTTATTAAAAAAGCCTGGTAAACATCATGACATTCTAATTGCAGGAGACAAACGATTAATTAATAATACTCTGTACTTTAAGATAAAAGTCAATATTGTTTGAGTCGGTGGTATGGAAATTATGTAATCCGATAAAAATTTGATTAATATCATCTCGTAGTATGTGCTATTTTAACACATGGCTTAATATCTCATATTAGTGTCATGTTTCTCTGTGGACTTCTAATAATAAATTTATGTGATTTGATTAACCTTGAAATTTCACCAAGTATTTGATTATTTTATTCGATTCTAAATTTGCAGGATTAGCATATGAATTTTGACTCAATTGTAGCAGCCATTTTGAGTTTTTTTAAGAATTACCATCTCGAATTACATGACAACTTTGGGTCCTTGTATTTTTGGGTATATTTGATTTGAATTTCTTCATTTCCTGATTTTGCTCCAAGTGTTTTTCCAGTTTTTCCCATTTTATATGATATCATAAACATTTTTCATTTACTTTATTTCCTTTTAACAAAGATATATTTGTCTACTTAATACGGCCTCTGAGAACATGAGCATTTTTGCTAATTAATGATTAACTAAATTCCCCCAAATTAAGAGCCCAAAGCGTGACTTCATATCTCCTTATTCACTTATATTGGTCATTTTGAAAGGGAAATAGATCATTTATATAGTTAAATAACAAGATTGCCTATAATTTCTTTATATTATTTTCTTATATCCTATTACAGGCCTCCTAGACTTTGACCCACGCAGTAGTCCGGTCTGACCTTGCTGACCACGTTCCTTCCACCTGAACCATATTCTTACAACGTGAACCACCTGTTCCTCTCTCCCAAACTTATTTTTCCACTCACAAACCACATACACCACAGTTGTGTGGTTTCTGATTTGGAACTTGACGCAGGAATGGAGAAATGAGTTCGGGATAGAGACAGAAACTGGTGGTTCGCAATTAATGAACCAATATTTACATTTTTTAATAATAAATACTCTTTATTTCTTAAAATCATAAATAAATTTACATTATTAATCACAGCGTAATTGCCCAGAAAGGGGATTTCTACTGTCGCTTTAAGTGAATTTAAATTACAATATAATGACAATATAGTTACAATATAATGACAATATTTCCATTGTGAGAATATGGTTCGGGTCGAATTCTTAAGTAGGCCTGCATTACCCTGAAATACAGTTGCTAGCAGTATAATTCTAGCCTCTGAAGAAAACAGTGCCAATAAGATCTATATAATATTAAAGTAACTTCAGTGGTATTTCACTGGAATTTTAAATGAATGTCCTCTACGAATAGGTAGATGACAGTGTATTCCTGATAACCAATCAAATGAGCCAATTTTGTATAGCGCATTAACGCTGCGGAGGCAAGATGAAATTGTTCTTATTGAAAGAGTGAAATGACTGAATAACTAATATAATTGAAATAACTTTTAAAAAACTAATATTTTTATATTATATTTTCAGAGCTGCTTTCTGAGGCAATAAAGAAGCTAAAGGGGGAGTACCTAGTGAGGGCTATAAGGGAACACAAGATGGACAAGGCCTTGATATTCTGCAGGACAAAGTTGGACTGTGACAACTGTGAAGATTACCTCAACAAGTTAGGAGGAGGTATGATGCTTTATTTGGAAATCATTGACGCTTTATAATCCTTTACTTATATAAATTAATGCACAGTATATTTATTTTGGTAAAGTTTTATTTGGTGTCACCCTGGCCCTATTAACCTTTTATAAATGTCACATTTTCTTTTCCAAGCATTAAACAGTGTTTTTATGGTGACATAATGTTATGGTCTGCGGTTTTTGTGGTGGCAGTTGGCGATCAATGGGTGGCAGGCGGTTTTTGGCGTCTGTAACAAATTCTTGAAACTTCCAATAACTTAACAAATACTGTTAATGTTTAGACTGACTTCAATTTTTTTCCAAATCATCTACAAGTTTCCAGAAGTTCAAATCTGACTTTACATTCAAGATTTGACCTTCAATGACATTTTCAAGGTCGAAAAAAGGTTGAAAAGGTCAAAAAGGTATTTTTCAACTTGTTTCAATTTTTTTTCAAAATCATCTACAAGTTATCAGAAGTTTAAATCTTAAATCTGACTTTAGATTTAAGATTTGAGCTTCACTGACCTTCTCAAGGTCGAAGAAAGGTCTTTTAGTAAGATGCTTCAAATTGACCAATTTATTTTTTTAAATCATCTACAAGTTCTCAAAAGTTCAAATCTCTGGACCCTCATTGAATTTCTCAAGGTCAAGAAGGTCTTTTTTAACTTGCTTCAAATTGACCAAATCTTTTTTCAAAATCATCTGCAAGTTCTCGGAAGTTCAAATCTGACTTCTACAGATCAGTATTTTCAAACAGTATACATTTTTTGTGGCGGTGTACCAGACAATGGCAATTAATATTTTAGAGCAGCTCATAGACTGTTTGTATAACACCTGCATTTAAGTACATGTAGCAGAGAAAGCCACAGAACTGTGGGTACTAGGAAGTTGCCAAGTGTACCTGTTTTTAAGTCAATTTTTAGATTTGTCTATCATAATACTTAAATGCTGGACTCATGAACAGAAATTTCATTGTCTTCAGATTTGCAGACTAGAGCTCTGGAATTTGATATACGTGTCTTGCACTAAGTACCCTTAATTCTGTTCTTACACGGCGTGTCATTCAATTGTCCTTGGAGCATTTTTGTATGGTATCTCTGTTCATATCTACCATTAAGATGTCATAACATGCTATCAAACACCTTGACAATGACTTTAATCATTCTCGAAAGCCCATGCTTTAATGTACTTGTAGCACCAATAAAAAAGGTACAGTTATTTGGCTAATAAATCATGTTTTTTGCTTCTGTGATATGTTATGTTAAAAAAATCATCTTGGCTGAAACTCCTAAATTATACAAGATTAAGCCCAAAGGTTTATCGGAACATAAAACTAATAAATCTGAAATATACAGGAAGTTTTGTGTCTTAAATTTGTGTTAAATTACAATAATATTTATTCCTCCTTAATTGCCATAATATATTATTTTCATGACATTTAGATTAAAATATTTTTTATCTTATATAAATGTACTTCATCCTCTAAAATACAGCAAGAAGAATGACTTCTTAGCTTCAATGCTAAAATAAGCAATTACTCATTTTTCTGACTTCTCAAATTGAATTGTATATCAGATATTAAAGGCTTGGCTTACGTAATCAATCGAACTTGAATATCAAACAGAGAGCCAATCTGTTAGATTAAATAACTTTTGCTGTAGAGTTTTTTTTTTAACAGATACATGTATAGCATTACATCGATTAAGAAATGTTTCAGTAAAGTTTAGAATATCTGTCGTGGTTCCGTAGAAATTCCTAGTGGTATGGTTTTCAAGGGCCTTAGTTGATCTGTAGAGGGCTCTAGTGGTTGCAAACCAATAACAAACTTCAAGTTTTATAATAAATGATTTTATCAATCAAATAATATTTTTTCGAGGTCTCCTCTGCCGAAGGCAACGCGAAGTAGGAGCGTAGCGACTACTTTGCGGGAGACCTCGAACCATTGATCACGTTTGCTCCTGTAATTATTCACTTCTTCACCTCTTTAAAATGTGATTTCAATCAGTTGATCAAATGTTCGGACGTTGACCTCAAATTCAAATATTAATATTTATAAGAAAAAATACTGACTCATTGATATATTTTTAAAAGTCTTTTAAATAAAGTGAAATGAAGCCAAAATCAGCTAAAATTATGCAATGTCGTAAAATGGCGTGACTGGAATATGATGCAATCACCCGTGACGTCAGACACGTATTGCCACATCAACAACTAAACAAACAATTAATATAGACTTCACTGATTGGTTTAAAGATTCTTCGCATCATTTGTGACGTCATTAACATGTTACCCAACCAACAACTAAACAAATAACAACTAGGCATATAGGTTCGTTCAGTGCCACGCTCTTGAATCGGTTATAAACAGGGATAATCAACAGATATGAGAGGGTCAGGCATTTTTTTGACTTGGAGACCTCGACTCGAGGAGTTTGCTGCATTTTCTTGTTATGAATTTGTCCAATATCTGCTTTAATGAATATATGTAATAATAGTATGGTATGTATACTTGTGTTGATTGTTAAATAACAAAATAGGTAAGGTAAAGAATATGTCAAAGTCGTTTGATCTCGTCCCAGAAGCAATGTTTTGTTATTTCTGTTGGTCGATCAGAATTCCTTTAACTTCAAGATGTAGAGATAAAGTGACAACAAAAGCATATAAATGGTCTATAAAAATACAAGTAGAATTGAAGAATAAATGAACGTGATTCACACCTGCCAAATAGATGGAAAAGTACAAGGGATACCCTGATTTGCCCCATGACCTTATAGGAAGAACAATGATGCTGGAGATGGTCGAGCAAAATTCTGATTAATTTCTCAAGGGTTAGAATTAAGGGTTAGGGTTTAGGAATTAGGGGTTAGTGTTTAGGGATGGGGTTCTGTTTAGAGTTGCCTTTCTTCACCCATCTCCAGTTGCATACCAAAAATCATTACCCCTACCAGATTGTGCTTCAAATGTTCTCAAGTGTGAAATGATACATCATCCTGAATATGTGATGCAATCAGGGTATCATGCTCCACTGCATTCAGATGTATGGAAACTGGCTTTTTAGATCAGTGCAATAACTTTGAGTCTAATTTGATATGATTTCTGAGTCGCCTTCAGTTCTCGACATTGATTTCATATAAATATTAGATTAATATTACATCACTTATAATTATCAAAATTCTTATATAAACTTATATTGAGGTGACATTTCCCAAATTTATTTATTTATTTATTTATGCTTTTGATTGCAGGACGCAACAGGAATACTGAGTTTTCCTGTGTTTGTTTACACGGAGACAGGAAACCAGCGGAGCGGAAAGGAAATCTAGAACGATTCAAGCGGGGTGAAGTGAAGTTTCTCATATGTACGGATGTAGCTGCAAGGGGTATAGACATCACTGGCCTGCCCTTTGGTAAGGTTTCATTTTAAATCATGGTCAAAGGTCTTGATTTGTGCTTGTTGAAAGCACCAGATTTAAGGTCTTATGGAAGTTAACAGGAAATGACAAAACAGGAAGTGACAATTTTTTTTGCATTTTTAGATATTTTTTGAATAAAGATAACAGAGTTCTGGTTTGACCTCCAGTCAATTTAACTATTTCCACATATCATTTACATGACCAGGACCACAATGTGCATGGTCAGAATGACCCTAAACATGATGAAATAACCTTTTTAGCCCTTTGAAAGTGTGACTGAAAAAAAAGCTAAAAGTAGGAGCGTAGGGAAGGTCACTGAACAGAATCTTTTGAATTTTTCAGAAAATGTGCCCAATATATTGCTCTAAATGATACAATCTTTGAAAATTTGATATCATTCATAGGAAAGAAAAAAAAATGAAAAAACTGATTTGAAAAGCGATCTATTTTCCTTTTTATGACCGCCATTTTTGTTTAAGACAATTTTCTAAAATTTCAAAGATTGTACTAGTTAGAGCATTATATTGGGCACATTTTCTGAAAAATTCAAAAGATTCTGTTCAGTGACTATCCCTACGCTCCTACTTTTAGCTTTTTTTCAGTCACACTTTCAAAGGGCTAAAAAGGTTATTTCATCATGTTTAGGGTCATTCTGACCATGCACATTGTGATCCTGGTCATGTAAATGATATGTGGAAATAGTTAAATTGACTGGAGGTCAATCCAGAACTCTGTTATCTTTATTCAAAAAATATCTAAAAATGCAAAAAAAATTGTCACTTCCTGTTTTGTCATTTCCTGTTAACTTCCATAGCACCTTAAGCAGATTTTATTAACATTGTCAATGTCAATAATCTGAAAAAGTCAAATAAGCCTATTTGAATTAACTGTAACAGGATTTGAATAGAGTTAAATAATGTTAATGAAAAGGGGACTTTGGTTGTCAAACTTAATGAAGAGAGTGTATGTCCATGTCAATCTTATGAATTAAAGCTTTTTCATGATAAAACTACTTGATTGGTCTTTCTTCATATGGGCTTCTGTTGAAAGCCACAATGATATTATTAAGCAATATTCCTTGTGTGGAATTATTAAATCTTTTTGAATGTCTCTCGTATATATTGATCGTACCAAATGATTTGTTACAGTGTTAAACGCAACGCAACCTAATCTGTATAAATCATAAATTGATGTAACATTGCGTGATTTATGTTGAAGCAATGACTAATTTTACACTCTTTGTGCATTTATTCACTCTTTTACAATAATAAACCTGACAAAATCTAAAAGATTAATGTAGTGATGAATCATAAGTGTATTAATCCCAAGATTGTAAGAAAGATAAATCTTGATGAAAATCTTAATTTTAGATTACAGTCAGTGGAAACATGCATAAAAGGCCGATTTATACAGATTAATTTTCTTGGTGTAGCAACAGGCCCGTACGTAGCCAGGTTTTGCCAAGGGAGGGTTCACTTTTTGAAAAATTCCAGGAGGGGTTCACTTTTGACAATTTTGGTCGAACAATGGCCAAAATAACTTAAAAAGTGCTCAGAATGGTGAAAAACTGCACTGCATGATTTTTGGCCAGGGGGTTTGCTCAAACCCATCATACCCCCCCCCCCTCACTACGGGCCTGAACAATTAACAGCATTAATTAGAATGAAACAATTAATGTGCGGAGTCATACATGTACAGTAGTGCACAAAAGTATTATAGTACCATTACCATGTACTCAAATGGTACCATACCCTAATTGTACCATATAATTCAGTGCTATATACATTGTACAACCCCCCCCCCTCCTCTGGCCAAAAATTCTTTCAAAATCATGCAGTGAACCCCCATGGAATTTTTCAAAAAGTGAATCTCCCTTGGAAATCCTGGCTACGGGCCTGAAGAATGTTTAAGAATTACAAATCTATAACTTATTTCTCGTAGTGAACACTCCTTTGGAATGTACGCATATTCTGCATAAATAATTATGGAGACTGATCTTATATTCTATCTGTGATCTCCCCAGGATTTTTTCTCAGGTGGGTGCAAAATTCTCATTTTCACAATTCAGACCAAAATTGGGCAAAATTTTTCATGATTTTTCTCATTTTCAAGTAGGTGCAAACATATTTTTAGGTGGATGCAAGCCTGTTTTTAAAATCTCAGGTGGGTGCTGCACCCACTTGCTTTAATGCTGGGGAGATCACTGTTCCATGAAGACGAACTTGAGCCTAGATATTGTATCAAGGATTTATTAAACATAGTAAATAATAATAAACCCAGATTGTTAAGATCAAAGTAAATAAATCATGTCACTTTTGTCTTTTATGGATCGTGTTTCATATTTGCGTTATAATCTCTGTATTCATTAGTCTAGTTTTTCATCATTTTACGTTGACACATGAGGAATCAATAAACAAGATAAATATCATCATTTATCATACAAATATATGTTCTATTATTATTTCTAAGAAAACAGATACAGGACGGGACAATAACCCTTTGCAATAAACCCAGGCCCGTAGCCAGGTTTTGCCAAGGGGGGGGATTCAGTTTTCAAAAATTTCTAGGGGGGTTCACATTTGACAATTTTGGCCCAAATATGGCTAAAATCACTTGAAAAGTGCTCTCAAAATGGTGACAAACTGCATGATTTTGAAAGAATTTTTGGCCAGGGGGGGGTTCGAACCTCCCCCCCCCTGGCTACGGGCCTGAACCCTTCCGCCTTTTGCTATATCAGAGAGCGGATTGGATTAATGATGTCAATGCTGCCTGTAGCCAGCTTTTGCCAAGGGGGGTCACTTTTCAGAAAAATTCCAGAGGGGTTCACTTCGACAAATTTGGCCAAAAATTACATGAAAATGCTTAGAATTGTGGAAAATTGCAAGATTTTGAAAGAATTTTTAGCCAGGGGGCGATCTTTCCAAGCAAAAAATAGATTTAACTTTTGCAAATTTTCATAGAAAACAACAACTGCTTGAATATTGATTGAAAATGTACCTAAACTCCGACCTATGACATCATCAATCTAGCCGATATATCCTACCATTATGATGTCATAGGTTGTATGTAGCCATCTTCACAATCAGATATGGGATTAACTTTTTGCTTATTTTGAAAACTTCTTAGAGGACTTTGTTCATTAATATTGTTACCTACAACATCCCACAAATGACATTATGAATCTGGCCAATAATATTCTTATTTATGCCATTGTCACATTTGCTCAAATTCCAGTACCAGCGCCCGGCCAATGAGTATTTATTTTTCAAAATTGCATTCAGCTTTGAACAAAATAATCATCGGCCGGGCGCCTGAGTGTTGAAGATTTGAGCAAATATGACCACGTCATTAGTGAAGGTGTTCAGGCTTATTGCAAAGGTCTATTTTAAAGGTCTATTCAAAAACTGTATAAGGCTCCATGCCTATTTTTACAGATAGTACAATATACCTCTGTTGTATTGTATTGTATTACATTGTATATTAATGATGTAATAGGATTTTATAAGTACTGATGCCCTTTTAGTGCCAAACGTACATCCGATATACAATTTTCAATAACAGTAAATATATATATTATACTGTATGGTATTTGTATTGTATTATTCCAGTGATCAATGTCACGCTGCCAGATGAAAAACAGAACTATGTTCATCGTATTGGTCGTGTTGGACGTGCCGAACGCATGGGACTTGCCATTTCTTTAGTAGCCCAGTGCAAAGAAAAGGTCGGTAGAAACATACCCATTTTATATTTCTGAAGCATTTCAATTTTTTAAATTGTTTTGATAAAGAATAATTAAAATTGTTCATTTATAACAATTTCACTTTTCTTTGCTCAAGCTTCGAATGCAGCCCTGCCATCTTTCTATCAATGAGTGAATATTCCCCATGATATTAAAACTATGTGTCTCTTGCTCTAAAACATACCAATCTCAATTACAAATTGAATTATTCTTCACTTTAACTACATACAACTCTATGTGCCGTTGCATGGAGGTATGTAGTCTTGCTCAAAGACTGTATCCCCCCCATCACCTTCACTATCTTTACCTGGCAATATACAGAGAGAAGGATAAAGGGGGGGAGTACAGGGTCTTTTAAGCAAGACTAGGAGGTATGGTACCAATCTAAGTGTTACTCAATGGCCCTTAGGACTGTCAATAGATGGCGAAAAATTTAGTGGGTTTATAACATTAAAATTGCTCCAAAAATCTCCAATTATGAATTTTATTGAAAATATCCAAAACCTTTTGATTTTGAATCTTAAAGGGTTCCGATTAGCATCCCGTATAAAAACAATATGGCGGCTCCAGGCGAATCAACTGAATCAGTCCATTTTTAAGAAATAAGGGGAGTTATGTAAAATCCAGTTTATTGAAATTGTCTTTGAGTTAAAGTAATCCGTTTATAATGATTTTGAAAACGTTATCCAAAGAGTGATTGCGTTCAAAGAATACATGTACAACAGCCAATATAAATCCTTGTATTAGAAACCGGTTTGTCTTGCTTTGTTTCATTTGTAGGATATTTCATATGCCAAGCTGTGTGCTATTACGTTATGGGGAAATTTAGATGCCAATTTTTCCTTATTATACACAAATAGAATATCCTGAAACTTCACCCATAAATGTGGAATTGATTTGTCAAAATAAAAATCACCCTTTTATAAATGTGTGACGATCTATAATATACTTATGCTATATAACAGTTAGAGGTGTTGACACAACGACCTCGAACCTGCGAACCCTTGAGTATTATTCCGGGATTGGGCCTTTTATACTAAACGGTGAGCAACACCAGAAACGAGCGTTCGATTTGCTAAACGATATGCGTCACCCTTTAAAACATGTTTTTAAATAGTGATGAAGGAAAATATGATATTCATTTTATATATGTAGTGAATCTGAAGTTTTAAAACAGCAATATTTACATCCAAACCAATGGGCCGGATGTGAAGAACAACCCAGTAGTTAACTCACGCCTAACCATCGACAAGGTACAGTCACGTGACCGTGACAAAATATGCCGTAGTACACTTTTGATGTACAATGTCACTATTAACTGATTTTAAGCAAAGACTATGATGTAGGTTTGATGCAGGTTTTCAAAAATAAATTTGAGGAATACAAAAAGGATTTCCTGTTTGATTTCGCGTGTATTCGATTTCAAAGACATTTATTTTTCTAATTACGTAAAAAGATCTTCGAGCAGTGCTTGATTTTTTTCATTGTACGTCTACCCATACAATTGTTCGGTTGGAAAAATGTTGTTTTTTACACATTTCCTTTGATAATTTTCTCCCCTGACGTCTCGGAGTGTCGAATATTTTAATGAGAATGTGTTTCTCTAAACTGCACAATTTAAGACGGGTTAAGATTTAATAAATATTCATGCATTTGGTATAATTTAAAAAATCAGAAATGTACGTTGTCAACTCACAGTGTATGTTGTCCCTGTAATTGAAATTCATGAGTTATAATATTAAACATTGCAATGATTTAATTTCAAAATGCATTAAGGGTTTTATGCGTAACAAGTGATGTTCAACGAACATGCTCCTGTATCCCTAGTACAGATAAACAGGTAAACGTGATTTTTTCGTTGAAAGCTATTTTATTTTATGAAAGTGTTAATATGGTGATTAATATGTGGCCATGGCGTGATATCTTCCGACCTTTTTGGCCACTCGGCGTCGGTTCGTTACGTTATGTTTAGTTGCACTTTTATGAATTTTAATAATCTCAAGGAGTTCATGGAGAGATCTATACTAGCAAGATGACTTTCAAAATTTATGCTATAGGGTGTCCCGAAAGTATGGGCCCCCTAGGCAGACATATACCAATGTCTCCATAGTATGTGTCATATATCATTTTAAAGCTCATCCAAAGTTATATTAATTTGCCGAGTATCATGGTTCAACTCACAAATGGAAATAGTTACAGGAATACAAAAGTGAGTGTTTGGCCAAAATTAAAATCAGTTTTACACCAAAACAATAGTCGGTGTGTCTCCTTAGCCTGTTTAACAGCAGCAATACTTTCCATATATGACCTTAAACAGGCTTCAAATAGGGATATGGTGTTTTGTAATCCTCATGAAACCTTTTTAAGGCATAAGAAGAGTTTCCTTGGAGTATCTACCCTAACTTTATTATCAAATATGTTCCTTCTATTACACATACATTATAGCATTTCATTCACTGTAAAATTAACTGTGAATTGAGATCTGTAAGGCCAATGTGACAACATACATTCGAGTTGACAACATACACTATCTATTTTTCGTAGTAGCATCCAAAGTAAAAAGCGGTTTTGCATTAACTCTGAATGTATATTTGTATACTTATCTTAAGTTGTGTTAGTCGTAGTTTGGCTGTTATTTGCATAGCAAAACAAAAATTAGAGAGAATTTTGAGAAATTCAGTCAAGATTTAGAGATCCCTGACGTGCTGGGTAGATCTATAACAAGATATTGAAGTTGCCGAGGATCATTTAAAGTAGATATGCATATTTGCAACTTAATTACAAATCGAATGCAACAACTGCCTGGTGATGAACTGACACAATATTGATCAAATCAATGCTAGTTCTTTCCTCGCTTCCTCATTCTAGAAAATGGCGATCTAAAATGGCGGAAATTACATAGTACATCAAAAGTGAACTACGGTATATTTTGTCAATGTCACGTGACTGTACCTTGTCGATGGTCAGGCGTGTAACTGCCATCTATACGAGTCCTGGCTCCCATTCAAGGGTGTTTTCAGAAATGGTGACATATTGTTATAGTCTCCAACTTTTTTGTGGCCAGTGTTCGGCAGTTGGTGTTTGGTATTTGGCAGTTGGTATATGGCATCTGTAACAAATGACGTTTGTCGGTCAGTCTTGGTAACAGATGGCAGGTGGCGACATTTTGCATGTTAAAGGCTTGTTTTATTTAAAGGTATATTACCAATCTAATCATTCACATTGTTGTTCTATCTAAAGGTATGGTACCATTCTAACTGTAGCAACAGAGGCAGGGGCTGCTACAACACGAATCTCACGACACAGGGAGGTTGCTGTATATGGTACAATGAACCACTGGTAATTATAAACATACAGTAAATCGTGTCTAAGTGGAACACCTTTGGTACCTCTAAAAAGTGTTTCACTTGGAAGGTGTTCCACTTTTGCAGGTTCATTTAACATTAAGTCTATTGGTCTTGGGACCCTGGAAATGGCTTCATTAACAGAGGTGTTCCATGTCTAGAGGTGATCCACTTTACTGAGGTTTCATTCAAGTCCTTCCATAATTCAATTCAAAGCTAGATATTGCAGAGGAAAGTTTAAACCAGAAACATTCAAATCTGTATTGTGTTTAAAATATGAACTTCTAGGAGACTTCAGAAATACTGTAGTATTATTTTTTGTTATTTTTTATTATAAAATTGCATAAATTATTTCAAAACTAGATATCACAGAGGACTTAAACCAGAAACATTCAATTCAGTATTGAGTCTAAAATATGAACTTCTAGAGGACTAAATAATTTTAATTTTCTTTATTATAATTCAAGATATACAATTCATAAATTGTCAAAAAGCTTTTCATGTCTCCACCATAAATCAGGACACTGTCTCCAACTTTTTGTGGAAGGTGTGCACTGGTTGGCTGTAACAAATGGCAGGTTGTGACATTTTGCATTTTAATGCTTTGTAATGTTTTTATAAAAAACTTTGGCAATCAACTGCATGTATGTTTTCGTTTACTAAAGGAATAAATTTATGTATAATAAAAAAAAATGCTTTGTATATTTATGTTATAGTATATTGGAGATATAGAGGAGCATCTTGGTGTCACCATAGACCAGGTTGGCCCAGAGATTAAGGTTCCAGTCAACGAATTTGATGGCAAAGTAGTCTATGGACAGAAGCAAACAAATAAAGGTGAAAATAACATTGTAATAATTGTGAAGTGGGTCTATAAAGGTAAGGTATAAAACACCTCAAAATATAAATGCCCAAAATATATAAAGAGATTTTTAGTATCCTCTATAGACCAAATCCCTTCCATAGATATTAGAGATCAAATACAATATTTTTGAGTATGAAACAATTGAATCTGTGAATTTCAAAATCCATTTTAATCTCAGCACATCAGCAACTATACAATTAATAGTTGCGTTTGTATAAAAATGTCCTTAAATAAAATCTTTCCAATTAACATATCTGTGTATTCATGTTACAGGGAGCGGTTACAAAGGACATGTGGAATTCTTGGCCCCAACTGTAAAGGAATTGGCAGAGCTAGAAAAACAAGCGCAATCTTCATTTATACATCTCAAGTTTAAAAAACCTTTCCATAAGAGATGAGGAGAGAATTATCCGGGGAGAATTATGTACTGAACCGGGAGAATTATGAACTGAATCGAATATTTCTTCGAAATGCTGCAGTAGGGGGAAAAACTGTGAAATATCATAAATGGTTGACTTAATTATTTGTGATATGTAATTTTTGACATGGTACATGTTAAATAAAAGTGATACAACCATAATTATGACTTAGTTGGAGCATTAACTGCATTTATTATACACTGGTGCTGCACTTAGTCTAGCTACAGTACAAGTCTCTGTGATCCCCCTCTACTTGGCTAAACACCTCACAAAGTCGTCACAAGGGCTTGTACATGATTGAAGCTAGACTATACTGCACTCTTCAAACTAGTTACCAAAATGGAGCAGTAACAAAATGTTGGAACATCTCAGAAAAGATTTAGTGAGGTTTTGGATTTTCTTAAACATACAAGTCATGTATTATTCCGACACACGTGATAAAAATGTCGTGTAAATTCTGCCTTAAAATTAAACCTCGTGAAATAAGGGAGAAGGAAAAATAGTTTCTTCGAGGTTCCGACATTTTGTTACCAAAACAAGTTGAGCAAACATGAACTTCATAGTCCATTCATTAATCCTTAAAGTGAAATAAATAATGCAATCTGTCCTAAGGTTTGAATATAATACACTATACGAGGGGTGATCAATAAGTAATGGACGCTTTTTTACATAGATGCTTTTTATAGACCAATCTCTTTAATTTTTTCACCAGTGATACATCATTCAATTTTCTATCAACTCTGAGGATTTGGAGACAAAACATGAAATATATTTTGATATATCTTTATTTCTGTGAAGGATGTATGTATACCCCGGGACCGACATAACGTCACACATTCTGAAGCTATTTAGCTCATTTTACGTGCAATCCAGTTTAATGCAGGTTGAACAAAATGAACCATGATGGTTATGAATTACACCATTTTGATACGCCATAATTGATTATGAATATTGTGCCTTCACTTTGTGGCACTCATGCCACATACATTCTTCAGGGTTCCTCTACATGGGTTCCATTAAGTGCTACACACTTCCTCATTATTATTATCCCCTTACTCAAGATTGAAAGACATGGCCGATTCCATTCTCTGACATGGTAGCAAACTGCAGTTGCACAGCTTGTTTTATTTCATCAATGTCATTTAACCTGGATCATTTTTCAATAGAAAAAAGTAGTATAGAAATAAAAGTTATGTGTGGCCAGATCTGGACTAAAGGGTGCATGCGCCAAAGGCTTCATGTTCAGGTCCAGGGATATTGTATCCTGGACATTTTGAGATATTTGGGCAGGGGCATTGTCCACATGGAGTAGGGTGTTACCTCCTCTCACTAACCTCTTGTTCCGCATTGCATTCTCAAATCAACCTGCAAACCCTGGCCATACAACACTTTGACCTTGCAATACTTATCTTTTCTGTGTTACTACAGGCAGCATGATATTCAAACAACACAACAACTCTTGTGGCATATCAAAAAGTTCAAATCTAACTGATATGCCGAATTGGCATTACTTCAGAATATGTGACGTAAATGTCGGTCCCGGGGTACCTGTACCCCCTTCACGGAAATAAAGATATATCAACATGCATTACATATTTTGTCTTCAAATCTTCAGAGTTGATAGATAATTGAATGATGTATCACTGGTGAAAAAATCAAAGAGATTGGTCTATAAATAGCATCCTTGTAAAAAAGCGTCCATTATTTATTGATCACCCCTCGTATATACATGACTGCCTCCTATTCATGCATTCACGAAAGCACTATATCATCAACTTCAGTTTAAGCTAGCAGAATTAATTAATAATTAATTAATTAATTATATCCTTATGACTTACATTTTTCCATTTTCTCATGGCATATCCAGCCCCTGGGACAAAATTCATCTTTTTGATGATGGACTATGAGTAGACTATGTAGTCATTCCTTTTAGATAAAGTGGAAAACAATATTTTCCATGTTATTTTCCCATAGGGAAAACTCATGCGATCCACTGCTTTCAGCTAATTTTGGTCATCCATATGGATATCTTTAAAAACCCCGAATGAATCACTTATTCCTTTAAAGGGGTTAACTGTGTGTCAAAACACAACATAATGATGCAAGAAAAAATAGAAAAGCAGGGGTGGAAGGGGTTGAAAATCAGGAAAACTTTTCAGAAAAAACATGTGGGTGTGTTGTTTGCATCTTCTCTCTCTCAAAGTCAAAATATTTTATCGTCTCTAGGAGTGCTTTTCTTGAAGGTTATGCATTGGTCTATTATAACATACGGTATGCACCTGTTAAAATCCTCAGAGAATAGCCAAAATCCAACATATGACTGTACGAAATCTGATGTGATTCTTTCCCTCCTCCTTTTACAACTGAGTTAATTTTCAAGACATATTTCATCGAACATTTAGCTTTTATTAGAGCTTGGATACCTATTTTTGATTAAAATTTGATGATATTATCATTCTGCCCCGCCCTCTTTTGGGGTAACCTTATTTTTGTTTAATAACTTTCAAGAAATACAGTATTCCTTTAAAATTTTAAAACTGGATTAATTAACTGAATCTTAAGACATAATTCATCCAACATTTAGTTTTTATAGAGCTTGGACAACTTTCACCTTGTGATTAAGTTTTGATGATAATATTTTCCCTCGCCCACTTTTGGGATCACCTTACTTTTGTTAAATAACTTTCAAGATATGCTGTAAGTTTTTTTTAATTTTACAACTTAATTCATTTTCAATACATATTTCATCCAACATTCAGGTTTTATTAATTAGAGTCTGGACACCTATTTTTGAGTACACGGTATTTCTTTAAAATTTTACTTCTAGTTATGATGAAAGCTTAATACTTCATCTAACATTTGGCTGTTATTAGAGTTTGGATATATTTCTTAACAATTAATATTGGACGTCATCTGAAAAAATGAGGGCGCTACTTTCAAGTCTCATTGTACCAGGCCTCCTGGACTTCCATCAACGCGAACCTTTATTCTGACCTTGCGAACTACGTTCTTTACGCTCTCACGATTCTCACGTGGTGAACGTGAAATCTTTAGTCGCGCACCACTATTTCCTCGAGTCTTCGATATCGTCAATGACAACGGAATCAGAATTTTAAATAATTTACAATATGTCGTTGTCTTTGTAAATTATCCCAAATTCAGATTCAGTTGTCGGTCATTGACGATATCGAAAACGCTATATTGAGGCGATTCACGACCCAATTTGATCGAAATTGGGATTTCATATGATACATTATCACAATAGCTTAATACATGCACGGAATTAGCAACGATAAAGTCCCATGAAACGTGGACCAAGTGATTGAAGAATTGAAGCAACGGTTATGTCCGCCATTTGACAACGGTATCTGACTACCGTTGTCAGGCTATTCCGGTGTGAATATGCTATGCGATTGACCAGTACCTGACTGAGGTAACATCCCTGGTTTACTCATTTTTATTGATAAAAAGAGAAACTTTTTCACACGATAAACCAGAATTTCATTGAAAAGTCAATTTAATTTTCAATGTTGGCGAACATTTATCAAATTGCTAAAAACGTTTTACAAATATGCCAAAATATGCCATGTCAAAGATAACACAATTTTTGTGGGGCTACAGTGTATATACATGTACTTATTATGTATGTATATATATAATGTATGTAATATATATTATGTATGTATATAAGTATTATGTGGAATGTACCCCCAAAACTTTCTGCTATCTTGAATATGTACGTGTGGTAATAAAAAAGAAAGAAACCTTGTACATATGATCCAAACAAAACTATCGCTTTTTGAACTCTGTCTCTGCATAGATGTTGCATTGAAACACATTCTGTTTGAATACATCACAGCTGATTAAATAATGAATACAAAAAGCAGCAATAAAGTGAAATTATTTTATTGACATTGCTTGGGTTTCAGATATATAAATCACAACATCTACATCTACTTTGAAAACACATTGTTTTGAATAGAATTGTTCACATTGATTTATTTACATGCATTTGTCATGTCAATTATGGATGACATTTTACTGGTTAAAATATGATTATCCAATACCCATGTAAAATAGAAGAATTAAAATTGAAAATACAAATGTAGCAATAATCCAGGCGTCTCTTCTTAATGGCATCGTTATCACTACCATCATCATTCTCATGTTGTCATTTTGCTAGTTAAAGGTAGAAACAGATCTACAAGGGGTGACAAAATTGCAAGCAATACAATTGACCTACCAATCTATTCCTTGTGATCTCAAATACAATATCTCCTTGTATTGAAGATCCGTGAAATGTTATAAATTGGTAAAGATATTAATGATTCAAAATGCAAAAATGTGGAAAATGTTTAAATTCTCCAAAATAACGAAAATGGAATAATACATTATTGTAAAAATCTTTAGTTTTCCTGAAATAAGGTATGCACCGGGGATTTTTAGAGAGTAGACACGAAAAGAAATGAAATGATATTAGTTGTTTGTCATTATTGTAATTTTTGTCATAAATTGCCAACTGGAAAAGTAGTGGGGCATTTTTGTTGAAATTTGATATGTGAATACTTCGAAGCATATTACACATTACTGACAATATTGCTAATAGGTAGCCAATTTCAAATATTTCAGCCATTGAGCTGGCACTTGCTCTCCTTGGCGCTGTTGCTGTTTTAATTTGTGCTGCGCAGTAATCTTGACAGACCTCAAAAACTATAGTCAATCCAATATTAGCCTTTGCGTTTTTAACATCACGAGCTAGCAATCGGAATATAGGAATATGCAGTTCTCAAAAATTAATCTATTCATTTTTTGTTTCTTAGCTGGATTTATTGCGTTGTGTTTGTTGGAAATTAGGACGTATGGAAGAACAAGAGATATGTTTGTATATTCTGAGAACGCCATGGATCCTCGTACTGCAAATACAAATGCAGGACATAGTGTATCATACAAACAATTAAATATAGAGAAACTTGAACCTGAGTATCACTTTAGGAAAAATTACTATCTTAAAAGAACTAAAGATATTGAGAGCAAGGATCACCTGTTAGAACATCTATTGGGAAGGTAGGTTGCTGGTGATGTTTTGAATACAGACGAGAACTATTATTATCCCATCGAACGAAGTTCGGAGGGATATAGGGAACGCCTCCGTCCATCCGTCCGTCCGGGCAATAACTCAAATACCGTTGGCCCGATTTTGTTCATATTTGGTATGTGAGTACTATACTGTAAGCATGGCACACTGTCTACTGACACTTTTGGTAGAAAGCGGCCATTTTAACGCATTTTACTATAACTCGAAAAGTAGTGGAGCGATTTTGTTCATATTTGGTATGTGAATACTATAAGCATGGCACACTGTCTACTGACAATTTTGGTAGAAGGCGGCCATTTCAAAATGGCCGCCATTTTAACGTATTTTACTATAACTCGAAAAGTAGTTGAGCGATTTTGTTCATATTTGGTATGTGAATACTATAAGCATGGCATACTGTTTAATGACACTTTTGGTAGAAGGCGGTCATTTTGAAAAATGGCCACCATTTTAACGTATTTTACTATAAACTCGAAAAGTAGTGGAGAGATTTTGTTCGTATTTGGTATGTGAATACTATAGTATGCATGGCATGGCTGCCATTTTTGCTTTATACTTTGTTTGTAAAAATGCCAGCCATGGCTGTTCGATGGGATTTGCTACGCTTTGGCGATGCTGTTGTCTAGTTCATACAGATAACAGCAGAATTATAGTATTTTGTTTTTTCAAATAACTTAATACGCATGAGATTTCATTTATTCTTTTAATCATAGAATGATATGCCCGCTGTCGATTTTATTGCATCATTTTGATGTCTATCTCGAATTTGCGCAAAATCAATCGGACATCCTTTTCAAAAACACTTAACCCTTATGATTATAATGAGACACATGAAACAAGAGCAATTGATTGGAAGTCCATGCAACAAATCATTCTTATTTTTGTAATTAAAATTGTTATGTGCATGAGTTCCTATTTCATTAGTGGATGTATGTTTGACCCAGGAGCGTTAGGTACAAACATGAGCTTCAATTTGGAACATGACATGGAACAATAAAATGAGTCGACAACTATTGGTTTGAAATACTTTAATAGACTTTAAATGTTTATAAACATTGAACGCTTAATTCATCCAGAGACATATGTTTTATATGTCTCTTATTCATCTCAAGAAAGGAGAGTCGTCGCCACAGCCAAAATATTACGGTTGAATGTACAGAAGCCTAGTCTCAACTTGTAGATATGTAGTCGAAAAGTTAAATAGACCTCATTTAGCCTTAATATGCCTGGCCTATTTAAACTTTGTTATGTCCCCACCACATAGTGTGGGGCCATATTGTCGGCCTAGGCGCGTCCGTCTGTCTGTCTGTCCGTCTGTCCGTCCGTCCGTACGTCCGGCAGTTTTCTCCAAAACCGCTACAGATATCACCTTCAAATTTTCAGGGATAACTTATGAGTGCATACAGATGTGGATGAAAAAAAATTATCTCGATACCTACTTCCTGTCGGCCATTTTGAAGTCAAATGCTAAAATCCTTGTCTGCAAGCTTTAGGAAAAACGGCTTCACAGTTGCTTTTAAAACTTTATCATCTTGTTCAGCTCACTTCATTCTAGATCGGATTAGGTTTTGGATCTGTTAGCTCAGTCATGTCAGCCATTTTGAATGTTTTAAGAAAAGTTAGCGCACGATAATACTTTGTATCATATTGAATGGTGTTTTTCAGTTTTCATACTTTAACTATTTAGTAGCTTTATAAATAATTTCAGGTGTACTTTGTTGTAAAAGCCTATGTTATTGTTAACAGTAGTTATATGTGATAATTTTGTAAAAATAAATCAGCAAAAACTCATAATCACTTTTTTATTGTCGGCCATTTTGGATTTTTCCGTCCTAAAATCTTGTCTGTAAAGTCTTGTCTACGGGTTTTCAGGTGAACCGTTTGGTAGATCAATTTCAAATTTTCAGGGATGATTCTTAGTATGAAAATCTAGATCTGATTAGTTTTTGGGCATTCTGGGTAAATGTCAAGGCAGCCATTTTGGATTTTCCGTCCTAAAATCTTGTCTGTAAAGTCTTGTCTACGCATTTCCAGGTGAACTGTTTGGTCGATCAATTTCAAATTTTCAGGGATGATTCTTGATATGAAAATCTAGATCTGATTAGTTTTTATGCATTCTGGATAAATGTCAAGGCAGCCATTTTGGATTTTCCGTCTTAAAATCTTGTCTGTAAAGTCTTGTCTACGCGTTTTTAGGTGAACCGTTTGGTAGATCAATTTGAAATTTTCAGGGATGATTCTCAGTATGAAAATCTAGATCTGATTAGTTTTTTGGCATTCTGGATAAATGTCAAGGCAGCCATTTTGGATTTTCCGTCCTAAAATCTCGTCTGTAAAGTCTTGTCTACACATTTCCAGGTGAACTGTTTGGTAGATCAATTTCAAATTTTCAGGGATGATTCTTAGTATAGAAATCTAGATCTGATTAGTTTTTATGCATTCTGGATAAATGTCAAGGCAGCCATTTTGGATTTTCCGTCTTAAAATCTTGCACGTAAAGTCTTGTCTACGCGTTTTTAGGTGAACCGTTTGGTAGATCAATTTCAAATTTTCAGGGATGATTCTTAGTATGAAAATCTAGATCGGATTAGTTTTTGGGCATTCTGGGTAAATGTCAAGGCAGCCATTTTGGATTTTCTGTCCTAAAATCTTGTTTGTAAAGTCTTGTCTACGCATTTCCAGGTGAACCGTTTGGTAGATCAATTTCAAATTTTCAGGGATGATTCTTAGTATGAAAATCTAGAACATACTAGTTTTTTGGCATTCTGGATAAATGTCAAGGCAGCCATTTTGGATTTTCTGTCCTCAAATCTCGTCTGTAAAGTCTTGTTTACATGTTTTCTGGTTAACTTTGTGACGGATCAATTACAAATTTTCAGGGGTGTTTCTTAGTATGAAAATCTAGAACTGACTAATTTTTGGGCATTCTGGGTAAATTTTAAGGTGGCCATTTTGGATTTTCCGTCCTCAAATTGTGTCAGTAAAGTCTTGTCTACTCATTTTTAGGATAACCATTTGACGGGATCACCCATAGGTGGGTCATTTTGTACACATTTGTGTTCTTGTTTCATCTTTGCTACAGAACATTCCGCGCCCATGGTCTCATATTTTTGCTTCGCGGCGCAAAATGACGGTGCATAACGCATATATCCAATTCGGTGCATCGATCGGTGCGTGAGCAAATACGATCGGTGCACCAGTGAACTATGTCATGTATCGAATGTATCGCCTTAAGTCAAGGTCACAAAAAACAATGTCATATACAAAGAAATGAATGTGTATATCATGGATATACTGGTGTGAAAGAAATTATGGTCCCCCGGGGATTACACTGGTACCCCATAATTCATCAAGAAGGTTGTCTCCACATAGCCATGTTGGTTGTGATTGATTATGCCATATGGGACTATCTGAAAGAAACTGTTGACCAGGGATTGAGGGACAAATTGACGAAACGGGTGTTGATAGAGTCAGGATTGTCTGAATATGCATGTTCATATTCATGAATGTTATGGGTTTTCTGAATTCAAAGTGATTTCCATAGCAATCCAATCCCTCCAGCACTTCTGACCGCTGGGGTCATCATATTCTGTATTACTTAATTCAGACATGAAAATTTTCTCATAAGAATAAATTATTTGAGAAATGTACAGTAAATTTAGCATAGCATCAATGACGATTTGACCATTTTTTCAAAAAAAATCATGGAAAATGATTTAAATGACATAACTATATATAAATCAAAGTTATTATTGTGGAAAACTTTTCACTGAATTCGAATATATGCTATTGAAAAGAAAGAATGGTTAGTTTTTAGAGGTTAAAAGTGCAAATCTCTAAAGGTCTCATCTAAAAACCTCCTCTATTGGACAAGGACTCCATTTTAAATCTGTTATGAACAATTTGAGGCAGGCTGTACAATGGTATGAAGAATACATAAAGAAATGATATCGTAGCCATAGTGCCCACCATTTTGTCCAACTACAAGATTTTGAATGGCTAACATTTGTAGGAGAGTTTTGCTATCACTAAATGTCAAAAATGAGAAAAAGGCAAATCACCCCCACATTTATGGAGGCATAATAAACCATACTGAATCCATCTATTAATTTTCCAGGAAAGTGAACTGCTCAACATTTCAACGTCAAGTACTCATCGATTTAGGCGCCAAGACGTTCGAATCAAGCGTTGGATGGTTCATTGAAAACTACCCATGTAATTTCGAGGAAATCCACGCTTTTGAAGTCGAAAGAAACGTGTTTCGCATACCAGAAAACGAAAAGGGCAGAGTCAGACTATACGAATCATTTGTTGGGGTAGAATCTTCAAACACAAAAACAGATATTGCTGATTTTATTGTAAACAAATTAGGAATTAAAACAGACGATTTCTTGGTCATCAAAATGGATATTGAAGGTACGGAATACAAGGTTCTCGACTATTTGAAGAAAAGAGGAACATGGCCGCTGATAGATGAATTATTTGTTGAAATTCACTACAAACATCCATACATGAGACCGTGGGGCTGGGATATGTTTGAAGAATATACTTTAGAAGACGCCACAAATTTTTTTGTTGAACTCAGAAACCATAGCATATATGCTCATCCATGGCCATAAAGTATAATTATCATATATGTCTGTCGACATGTATCATAAAGAGAAACAAAGGAAATAAAAGAAATGTTAAAGAATCGCAAAAATGAAACTAGGGCCTAATATCAAGGGGCCTATGTTACACGACAGTCCGATTAAATGTAGTCCCCGAATAAAGCTCGGACTATTATTGACATCAAGGTGTCGCAACAAATAATCAGGGTGAAATCATTGCTATTTCATCGACATTGACTTCTATTCTCAAGGTTTAAAATTCTAGATTGGGTTCGTTGTATATGTACGTATTGTACATCAAGCCCTAAAAATATGAGTACACTCCCCTCCATAAGTTTGGCAACCGGCAGTTTTTATTATCAACGTATGAATCTTAACATAAAACTTCATGTCTATTACAGAGTCAATTCGCGCATCCGTTATGCCAAAAACGAAAACTGAATAAAATCGGATATTTGTTGAATTGAAAATACCGCCTGGCGCAGTTAGATCAAAGCACTGGGTTCTTAATTTTTAAACCCCGAGAGAGGGGGTTCGAAACCCGACAGAATCTATTTTTCTTTTTTAACCTTTCACAATAAATTTCTCTTTTCATACACACTCATTTTGGTCTATCATGACACCAATTCATAATAATTCATAATGTTCAAAAAAAATTCGCAAATTGTGCAATTTTTAAATGAAAAAAAGAATTTTCTCATTGAAAGCAATGTTAAATTAAAACATTTTTAGAAATAACCAAACTGCCAGTCTTTCACATTTTTTGTTTTACATCAGAATATCGTTCACCTAGATTCTTTTTCAAGAAAATGTGCATTGTAAAAAAGTCATTCGACACTTAAGTTGTACCTTAAATTTGTTCCTTAATAAAAAAAAGTTTGGAATCGAATTCACGACTGCTGAATTTTTAAATCGCAAAGTATACACAGGGTTGATCCAAACATGTCTTCCGGTAGCTAAACTTATGGATCGGAGTCAGAGGGGGAGAAACACCAGGGTTCAAAGATGACATACGCTTATAATGTAAATCTGTATTGAGATGACATCGTCGCTGATTGGTCAAAAGTCGACAAACAAATGACGTCATCAATGGCGGTTTCAAAATTTTCGAAATACGCTTCGAATAATATTATGTTCATTTCTGGCGTGTTAACCAATATCATAGCTTCTCATTTCACATCAAGATAAAGAAAGGTGTACGGAATATGCCTATATGAATTAAAACATCCCATCGAAGTGTAGTATTTGATAACTAGCCGATGAAAATTCGAACGAACGAAGGTGGTAAGCAAGAGAGGTAATTATGTCTGTCATCTTTAAACTCTGGGGCTTTCCCTCCTCTTGATCGGAGTGTAAAGTATGATGAGGAATAACGGTGCATGCTTTAATGAGTCCATACTTCTAATACTCTACCATCTGCGCTGCAGTTGTAACGATTTATTCATTATAAAGATGGCGTCTATACAGTGTCTCAAAAAAATGTTACACTTACAAAAAGTTCAATATCTCATAATTTGACTTTTCCCCTAAAATGTACTTTGGATACTAAAAGACAAATCTTTCTCGAATAATTTGACACCGCCCGATTCAAAATCTGTCCTTGATTGGCTCCACAGGACAGCTTTTAGTGTCCCATGGTAAAATCTGACTTGCGCCAACTTTTAAGTGATTGGATGGACTAAATGACAAAAGAGGAACAGTTTCTTTAACATTTAACTTTCTTCTGAGTAGAAGCTTGACGTTTAACTCAGTCATTCTGTAATTTTCCTATTTGTCTTACATATGATCATTGGGTCTATCCACATAAACATGTGCTCCCCTCAACATGTACTCCAAAGCAAATCTGAGGTACCCTTGCCCATGCGCACATGCATTGTAATATCACACTGATTCCATCAAGTTCATTTAGGTCAGTTTGTGATGCTGTAAAGCCCTAGTTCAGAGGCCCTTCAAAAATCAAGGGTGTAAAGTGGGATGACCCTGGGGGCCAATCCATTTTGTATTTCAATGCTATCTTCTGATTTCCAAAGAGTTCTACCAAACAATCTGTCACATGCTTTTGCACCATCCTGTTGCCATCATACTTTGCAAAATTGAACACACTGACAATGAAATCTTGTATTTCTATCCAGTAAAGAAACAACTGCATCATTGATCATATCAAGATATCACTGTCAGGCCCGTAGCCAGGGGGGGTTCGCAGGGTTCGGGCGAACCCCCCCCCCCCCCCCCCCTGGCCAAAAATTCTTTCAAAATCATGCAGTTCTTGACCATTTTGAGCACTTCTCTAGTGATTTTAGCCTAATTTGGGCCAAAATTGTCAAATGTGAACCCCCCGGAAATTTTTGAAAATTGAACCCTCCCTTGGCAAATCCTGGCTACGGGCCTGACTGTCCACAGCATTCACACCAAAGAATTGATCACCACATATCCAAGTCCAAACCACTGAGAAGTTGGCGCAAATCGGATTTCACATGCGTCTATAAAATCTCTCCTGCGCAGCCAATCATGGACGGATTTTGAATCTGATGGTGTGGATTTATTCGAGAAAGACTGGTCTTTCGGTATCTAAGTATATTTTAGAGGAAAAGTCAAAATCATGAAAGATATTTTTGTAAGTGTAACATTTTTTTGAGACACATTGTATAGTTGGTGTTAGGTGTTCCCGTCTGAGATCCACTAATGAAATGAATAAATCGTTGTTTTGTTTGAAAGAAGTAATTAACTTAGAGAAATGTAAGAGACGGTCCAAAACGCATTTTATAAAAAAATGTCATAACCATTCTAACTTTATGCCAAAATCATATTTTTAATCACTAAAAAATTCAAATTGCAAAATATTTGTTAGCTGTGCAAAGTAGTGCCTCACAAAGTGCACTCCCTTATGAAAAATAAATGTCCTTATTTGTCCTAATTAGATTCAAATACATCATTGGAAAGGTGAGAGTGTCAGCTTTAAGGATCTGGCCTGCTTTTGTAGGTTTGCTAGTGACAAAGTTTAAAAACCAACCCTTTCATCACTAAGGGGTAAAATTAAGAAATAAATCATAATCTTTCAATTTGAAAATTTGAAATGTATTATATTTTCATTTTAAATGTCCATAATATAATAACAAATAGTGTCCAAAGAGATATGCTATTTGTGAAATTGGGATGTTTGACCTCGATGGTTATGTTAATTTAAAATTTATAACCCAAAGATATGTGAAAATAATGCCAAGCTTCTTTTAACATCATTTTTTCATTTATTAAAATCAAATAAACATATTTATCCCATACTTGGACGTGTAACAGGTACATAAAGCCGGTTTGTAAAAACTTATATTTTCATCAGCGGGCAGATATAGCTATACGTCCCGCTCCGAGCGGGCAGATATAGTATATCTGCCCGCTACGTCATAATCGCCGCTCGCATATATAGAGATTATCCTATATGAGGTTCAGGATATTGGGATTATCCCGAGGCCAATATAATATATTTGCCCGAGGGCCGCAGGTCCCGAGGGAAAATATGTTATATTGGCCAAGGGATAATCCCAATATCCTGAACCGACTATAGGATAATATGTTTATCCCATACCAATCTTGGTCATCTGGTTCACATTGTTCAATCGTGGAAATATTTTAGAATATTCATGTCCAGTTTTGTTTTCTTTGCCGTGGGCGGATTTTCCTGTTCTCTCAAATATTCCCACATTTATTTCTCGAATTTTTGATTGATTAAGTGGATGCTCTTTCCCTTTTTTAAACCATCAAACAGATCCCGATTGTCTGTGTTTCTCCATTGTAGTTTACAGTCATTACGCGAACGTTACAAATTATGAACAAATATGCGAGCGGCGATTATGACGTAGCGGGCAGATATACTATATCTGCCCGCCCGGAGCGGGACGTAAAGCTATATCTGCCCGCTGATGAAAATATAAGTTTTTACAAACCAGCTTTATGTACCCGTAACACGTCCAAGTATGGGATAAATAAGGGTTATGTACTGGGAGGTTTTGGATACAGGTTTTATCCCAAGGGAAATATGTGTATATCCCGAGGGACCGCAGGGAGCGAGGGATATACACATATTTCCAGAGGGATAAACCCTGTATCCAAAACCGACCGTACATAACAGATGTATTTCATACCTACTGATGTTCTAGGTACGTCATATACCTTATAAAGTTCCAAAATTCAAAAATATACTTAAGATACGCATTTTCTTGGTGTTATAAAGTGTTTTTTTTAAGTTTCTGAGATTTTCAAACTCATATAACTCATATTTTGAAAAAAAATGTTTGAAAAATAATGTAAAAAAATTTGGGGAAAAATTGGACAAAATATTTTTTTTAAAAAAAATTGGAAAAAATTGAAAAAATTGTGAAAAAAAATTTCAGGAGCGGGACCGGGATGGATACAGCGTGTATCCATCCCGCCCCGGGCCTTGGCTAGATACAGTATATATTCCCGCTCGTTATGTACCTAGAACCTCAGTAGGTATGAAATACTAGTTCATAATTTGTAACGTTCGCGTAATGACTGTACACGAAAATGGAGAAAACACAAACAATCGGGATCTGTTTGATGGTTTAAAAAAGGGAAGGACCATCCACTTAATCAATCAAAAAATCGAGAAAATAAATGTGGGAATATTTGAGGGAACAGGAAAACCCGCCCACGGCCAAGAAAAAAAAACTGGACATGAATATTCTAAAATATGTCCACGATTGAACACTGTTAACAAGATGACCAAGATTGGTATGGGATAAACATATTATCCTATAGTCGGTTCAGGATATTGGGATTATCCCTTGGCCAATATAAAATATTTTCCCTCGGGACCTGCGGCCCTCGGGCAAATATATTATATTGGCCTCGGGATAATCCCAATATCCTGAACCTCATATAGGATAATCTCTACATATACACATCAGTGATAATGACAACCTAGTATTTATAAAATGGCATATTGTTAGTTGCATTTATTATCAATCTTACAAAGTGTCTCAAAGTATAAATTATGTAAGCCAAACTGGGAAACAAATAAATTATATGATGTATAAAAGGATATAATAAAATATTTGAATGATGTAGAATAACTAAATGGAAAAAAGGTGCATCTGTTAAAATTTGTACAGTACTAATCATAGAGACTAATAACATGTCTTTTAAAGGCTCGCTTAAAAATAAAAATGTTTCTTTGAATTTTTGATAACATCTGGAGTTGAATTCCAGATTATTCCCCTTGAGTTTTAATACTTCGTTTGCCATAGTTGGTTCTAAATTTGGAAATATGAAGATTGTCAGTC